AAATGAGTATAGCTATACAACCTTTAATAAGGAAAGAATAACAGGCTGTTATACAGGCTTTATACACCCTAAGAAGATCCATATTCCAACACTCACTAACTGAAATGAAGAAAAGATATGGGGATGGGAATGCAAGGGGGAAAAAAAAAGAAAGCATGACCACTCTTTATCTGTTCAACACACATTGAAATGAAAAAAACCAAGATTTAAAATTACTCTTTGCTCCCCTAAAGTGTTAGCTTGTTCCCACTTTGATCATCGAATTATGTAATTCCTCCCAATTTAAACTAATAACCAAAATCTATCCAAAATTGGACGAAAAATACCATATCAATTCCACAAGAGTGCCAAGTCCCTCCAATTTATGGTGTAAACAGGGGAAAATGCAATAATTTAAGGGTCTATCTATGTGATAAAAAATATAATACTTAAGAGGCTAATGTGGGAAAGTACTTTGAATTCTATTTCCATGGCTGCCTTTAGGTTTTGGTTGGTTAGGATGCCACATGCCCCTAACTAGCACCATGTGGTGCTGACGTGGCATTCTCCCTCCAATGACAAATGTTGGTTATTGGTGTTAAGTGTTAGGGGTAGTTTGGTCTTTATGTATTATTTTTATTAGTATAAATAGTTGTGTGTAAGGGGGAAACCCTATGCTTTTTTAATTACGAAATATATAGCAGCTCTCTCTCTCTCTTGTTCTTCTTCTTCTTCTTCTTCTTTTTCTTCTTCTCATCATCTATACATTCAACATGGTATCAGAGCAATATCTTCCTCCTTGAAGATGATTCCTCTCATTCTTTAGGTACGTCCATAACAGTAGCAAAAAAAAATAAAAAATAAAAATAAAAATTAGCATGCTCGAAATTTAATGGGTATTCACCATGTAATCTCCTTTTGATGTTTTGGTCATTCTTGATTGCTTTTTTCAATTTTTTTTGATTTTTCGTCAATATTGGGTGAATTTTCGAAAGTTGTTGTTTGAACCCTTTTTGATTGGTTTTGTCCCTTCCTCTCACATCTGTGGGAGCCGACTGGTACCCTTAAAGGGTTTACTGTCCCTGGTTTGAGGTATTTTGGCCCTACCTTGGCTTTTTTTTTGTTTTTTGGTTGGTCTGCTTCAATTTTTTGGACTTGTAGGTGATCTGGTTACTGTGTTCTGGGATAATCTTGCCCTTTTTTAGCCTTAAAAGGTGAGTTGTTGTGCTGGTTCAGTGTTTTCTGGATTTGTTTGATATCCTGCTTGTGTTTCTGAACCATCTTTCTCTCATCTCATGGTTGCCAACGAGGGTAAGGGCAAGGAGAAGAGTGGACTAAGTCGTGGTATGACTCTTGGTGATAGTCCATCTCTCCAGATTAGTCCGGTCAAGCTTAATGGTACCAATTACTTGATTTAGTCCCGCTCCTGCAGTCTTGCCATTGCCGCCCAGCGGTTAACAAGCTATATTACTGGTAGTACCCAGCAACCTACTAAGGATAGTTCTTTATCTGCTCAATGGATTTCTGAGAATGCTTTAGTTATGACCTAGCTCATCAATTCTATGGAGCCTACCATTAGTCGAACTTTCTCTTGATGGATACTGCTCACAAGATCTGGATAGCTGCCTCTCAAATGTATTCTCAACAAGGGAATGATGTGCAAGCCTATGAATTGCGTAAGAAGATTAGGGGTTTGGATCAGAAGGATCGCTCTCTGGCAGTCTACTATGCTGAGTTGAGTGGTTTATGGCAGGAGCTAGATTTCTACTAGAGTTTCCAGCCAGTTTGCTCCATGGATGCCACTATGTTTTCAGCAGGCTGTGGAAAAAGAGCGGGTGTATGACTTTCTTGCTGGCCTGAATTTGGAGTATGATCAGATACAGATTTAGGTGTTGGGTCGCTCTCCGTTTCCTACATTGCGTGAGGCTTATGCACTGGTTCAGCAAGAGGAGAGTCGTCGTAGTGCTATGGTGCATGCCCCTGTTCAAGATCGGTTAGCGATGGTTGTAAGTCACGTGATACTCCGCCTTGTCAGCCTCAAGGTGGTGGTAAGGGTCCATTGGTTGATCGGAACCAGTTGAAGTGTGAGTATTGTGGAAAAGATAGACATGATAAAGAACACTGTTAGAAGTTGCATGGCCGACCTACTCGAGGCCGTGGTTGTGGTGACAGTGTTCATCCTCAAGCACATGTTTCTAAGACTTCTGCTAGTGCCTCGAATGATACTGGTTCTGTTTCCCAGAATGAGCTTCACACTCTCAGACGTTTGATGGCTCGACTTGATTCTTTATCTGCCTTAGCTCCTTCCTCTTTTGTCTCTTCCAACTTTACCCACACAGGAATTTCTATTAGTGCACTTAGTGCCTCCTCATCGTCACCTTAGATCATTGATTCTAGTACTACCGATCACATGACGGGTACTTCTAGTTTTTTCCATTCTTATTCACCTAGTTCTGGGCGAGATAAGGTTAGAGTGGCTGATAGCACCTTATCTTCTATCTCCGACAAGGGTTCTGTTCATTGCACCTCTTTACTTTCGCTTTCATCTGTTCTTCATGTTCTTAATTTTTAACTAACTTACTTTCTGTTAGTAGCCTTACTACTGCTCTCAATTGCTCTGTAACCTTTTTTTCGACTCATTATGTCTTTTAGGAACTGACTACGGGGAAAATGATTGGCAGTGGTAGAGCACAAAGTGGACTGTACTTTCTGGATGCCATTCCTGCCGCACCTTTGTCCTCTCAGGCTCTTCAATGCACTTCTGGCTCCTTCCTTCGTCTCCTTCATCAGTGGCATCGCCGTTTGGGGCATCCTTCCTTTAGCATTTTAGAGAAACTTTTTCCTTTATTAGTTCGTGATTATCCTAGGAATAACTTTGTTTGTGATGCTTGTGAGCTTGCTAAGCATAAACGTACTTGTTATCCTTCAATTAATAAAAGTACTTTTCTTTTTATGCTTATTCATACTGATGTGTGGGGTCCTTCCCCTGTAGTTTCTACCTCTGGTTATTGGTGGTTTGTCACATTTATTGATTGTTATTCCCGTGTGACTTGAATTTATTTACTTCATACTAAAAATGAGGTTTTCTCGTGCTTCAAAAGTTTTCATAAAATGGTCTCCAATCTCTTCAATGCTACTATCAAAATTCTTAGGAGTGATAATGGGACTGCATATGTTGATGGCGCTTTCAGGGCATACCTCGAGGAGCATGGCATTCTTTATCAGACTAGTTGTGTTGGCACTCTTGAACAAAATGGAGTTGCTGAACGCAAGAATGGCCACCTCCTTAAGGTTGCTCGCTCTCTCTTGTTTACCATGAACGTTCCTAAGTCTTTTTGGGGGGATGCTGTTCTTACCGCGGCTTACCTTATTAACCATATGCCCTCTAATGTCCTCCACTCCACTTCCAAATTCCTCTTGAGTTTCTTCCTGTGACTTATCCCACTTCTTCCCTTCCGCCTCGGGTTTTTGGTAGTGTCTGTTTTGTTCATCTTCAACCTTGTACTCGTGGAAAGCTTGATCCTAAGGCTGTCTGGTGTGTCTTTCTTGGTTATTTTGCTACTCATAAGGGCTACAAATGCTATGACCCTCACACTCATAAGCTATATGTTAGTATAGATGCCACCTTCTGTGAATTTGAGTCCTTTTTTTCTAGTTCCCCGCTATCTCCTCAAAGGGAGAGTGGTATCGATGAGATTGCGGATAAGACAGCATCATATCAGCATGAGTTGTCTTTTTTCCTTCCTAATCAACAGATTGTTATTTGTGGTGAGAGAGAGCCTAGCAATTCTGTTGATAAGGAGTCGGATATCGGTGGTTGTTTGGACAGAGCTGATCTTAGGACTTATTCACGGCGTCAGAAAGAGCAAGCTTCTCTTGTGCCACCAAGTCAATCATCATCTCCTATGCCAGTTCCTCAGGTTAGTGAGGCTAGTTTGGAAGTTGCAATCTCTTATTATTGTGATGCATGCAATTTCTTCTTCACATCATTAAGTAATTCTGTGCTTGATTGTAATATTTTTTTTTTTTTTTTTTTTTTTGTTATAATAAAATATATATATAGATATATATTAAAAGAAAAGAAAATGGTGAAATCGTGGGTGGAAGAAAGTAAGGGAAAGGAGGGATATGATTAAAGTGGGTTTGAAAAAGTGGGAAAATGTGATGATAGTGGTGAGTGGAGCATAATGGAGAATAGAAAAGGTGTATATAATAATAAGAAGAAAAGGGAAATGGGTTGGCCGAGGAGGTGCAAGTCAGGTCTCTAATAATAAAAAGGAATGGGGGTGCCGGGTGAGGATTGGTGTTGTAATAAATAAACCATGGTAGACAGGCTTCTATTTAACGCTCTTTCCATGGGAGCGACAACTGGTTTCCAGGTCTGCTGAGGTCACTGAAAATGGCTTGACAGATGATCTCAGTGAGTCAGGTCCCTCTGCATTGATTCTCTTGCATAATGAATCACAGTTGCTAATCACCTCAGTCAACCTTCCCTTCAGCTCCCCAAGATCAACCTGTCAAAGCATCTGCAACTTCTATCTTGTTTTCTACCTCTTCCTGTTTCTTACTAATCGTCTGGATTTTTGCCTCCTGCCAATCACGGTACATTGAGAAGAGCTCCAGCAGCACCATCGGATTTACTGAAGTAGAAGAGGATGAGGGTTTTCTCACTAGAATGTCTGTCAAGCTAGTCTCCTCTTCCAGTGGTGCTGTCAATATTGGAGTTGCGATTTTAAGGGATCTGAGCTTCTCTAGGAGGGGATCTACGACTTCTGATTGCGAAGAGACGGTGCTGATCTCATCGTCCGCCCTCTGTGAGCTTGAGAGTGTTGATTCTGATGAACCCATTGATGAGAAAAGACAAAGCGAAGCCAAGCAAGGGCTCCTGGAAATGGAAATTTTAAGGTATGTGTAGAAAATTTTAGCAGACTAGGTTGAGGTCTACCACCAATTTACCCTCACCTACTCCTCACCTACTACCCAAATCCTCTTCTATATAATAGGACTCCTTGTAATATCAATTATACAACAATCAGATATCAATATATAAATCAATAATACATGAATTTTAACAATAGATGCCACCTTCTGTGAATTTGAGTCCTTTTTTTCTAGTTCCCCGCTATCTCCTCAAAGGGAGAGTGGTATTGATGAGATTGCGGATAAGACAGCATCATATCAGCATGAGTTGTCTTTTTTCCTTCCTAATCAACAGACTGTTATTTGTGGTGAGAGAGAGCCTAGCAATTCTGTTGATAAGGAGTCGGATATCGGTGGTTGTTTGGACAGAGCTGATCTTAGGACTTATTCACGGCGTCAGAAAGAGCAAGCTTCTCTTGTGCCACCAAGTCAATCATCATCTCCTATGCCAGTTCCACACCCAGTTTGCACTAACTCTACAAGTAATGATCCTCAACCCATTTCTTCACCTGTTGTTGATGGTCCTGTTACTAATGATTTGAGTCTTCCTATTGCTCTCAGAAAAGGGGTTAGAGCTTGTACTCAACACCCTATTTCTAAATTTGTGTCAAATGATTCGTAGTCTTCTCCATATCGTGCTTTTGTTTCGTCTCTTTCTTCTGTGTGTATTCCGCAGGGTTGGAAAGAAGCCATCAATGATTCTAAGTGAAAGGTAGCTATGGTAGAAGAGATGCAAGCTTTGAGTAAAAATAACATATGAGAGTTGGTGTCTCTTCCTAATGGAAAAAAACCAGTCGGATGTAAGTGGGTGTTCACCATTAAGCACAATGCAGATGGGACGATTGAACGATACAAACCAAAACTAGTGGCCAAGGGATTTACCCAGACATATAGAATAAATTATTAAGAAACTTTTGCCCTAGTAACAAAGATGAATTTCATTCGAGCTATTCTGTCATGTGCTACTAATTTGGGATACTCTCTACAGCAACTAGATGTGAAGAATGTTTTTCTTCATGGGGATTTGGAGGAAGAGGTATATATGGATGTACCTCCAGGATCCTCATCTTAGTCTACAGTTGGAAAGGTTTGTAGATTGAAGAAGGCTTTGTACAGTTTGAAACGATCTCCTAGAACCAGGTTTGGTAGATCCCTAAAGGCAATGCTGGGATTTGGGTATCAGCAAAGCAACGCGGATCACACTTTATTTGTCAAATGCAATGTACATAAAGTAACAGTGCTTATTGTATATGTGGATGACATAGTTGTGACAAGTAATGATGAGGAGGAGGTGACCCATCTCAAGATGCAGTTAGCTAAGGAGTTTGAGATAAAAGATCTTAGTCCATTGAGATACTTTCTTGGGATTGAAGTTGCCAGATCTGATAAAGGCATCTTCATTTCTCAAAAGAAGTACATTCTGGATTTTCTCGAGGAAACGGGCATGGTGGGCTACAGACCAGCTGATTCATCGATTGAGACTAATCATCGTCTTTGTGGTGGAATTTAGCAAGCCTGTGAAGAAGGAAAGGTACCAAAGACTTGTGGGAAGACTGATATATCTCTCTCATACTCATCCAGATATTGCCTATGCAGTTGGGACAGTGAATCAGTTTATGTATGATCCTCGTACAACTCATTTGGATGCAGTCTATCACATTTTGAGGTACCTTAAATCTATCCCTGGAAAAGAAATTTTGTTCTCTAATCATAGTCACTTGAGGTTGGAAGCGTTCGTTCACAAATGCAGATTGGACAGGCTCTATAGATGACCGACGCTCTACCTCCGGTTATTGTGCTTTTGTAGGGGAAATCTAGTCACACGGCGTAGTAAGAAGCAGGCGGTAGTTTCCAGATCTAGTGCTGAAGCTGAATATAGAGCTATGACACATGGAACATGTGAACTAATGTGACTTCAATCTTTGTTGAGTGATATAAGGCTTGATTGGAGTGATCCCATAACTTTGTATTGCGACAACAAGGCTGCTATTAGTATTGCACACAATCCTGTTCAACATGACCGGACTAAGCATATTGAGATTGATAGGCATTTCATTAAGGAGAAGTTGAATAAGGGCGTGATATGTATGCCTTTGTTAAGTCTGAAAATCAACTGGCGGATGTTTTTAATAAGGGTCTTAGTAGTAAAGTCTTTCACCCTATTTGTTGCAAGTTGGGCATGAGAGACATCTTTGCACCAACTTGAGAGGGAGTGTTAAGTGTTAGGGGTAGTTTGGTCTTTATGTATTATTCTTATTAGTATAAATAGTTGTGAGGGAGAAACCCTATGCTTTTTGAATTAAGAAATATACAGCAGCTCTCTCTCTCTCTCTCTCTCTCGTTGTTGTTCTTCTTCTTCTTCTCATCATCTATACATTCAACAGCCCAAATTAGGAAAAGTTACATATTTTGAGGACCAAAGTTGGAAAAATAAACTTCAAGTGCCAAAGTGAGAGAAACGCTAATACTTTAGAAGGGAAAATTGTAATTTACCATATTTTAAATATATTTTATGGGATAAAATAGTGTTTTATGTAACATAAAGAGTGTCAAAAAAAGCCACTTTGTAATTGTGCAACAAAAAGTACAAATAATGACAACGTTAAATACAATTTAAAAAAAGCGTTCAATTAGTACACATTAATGTGTGTTTGGGAGGGGAAAGATTGGGTACACACCTAACTTTTGGCATAGTGTATAAAGTGGTTACCCTGTGACTTGAACCTATAATCCAAGGTTATTAGGCCATTTAATTGATAGATATTTTTGCTATGCACATATCAAGATTCATAACGGAAGTATCGGACACATATCCCATACCTTTATCCATGTTCCAGTGTCCAACACAAGTACTTGAAGTTCAATTATCTTGAAGATCCCATGTAATATAGATTTGAGCCTAGGTCTCTCTTTATCTAACTGTGTCAACATTTTGTACATGAAGACTTGCGAAGGTAAGTTTCATCAGATCATTCTCAAAATTTCCACTAAAATCAGGGTAGAGATGGATTTATAGAATGCAAGGTTTGGGATAGGGAAGATACCCATCCTGGGTAGACGACAAGGAGGGCCACCAAAAACAGGGCAGAGATAGGTGTATAGAATGTATGATTTAGGATGGGAAGATACCCTTCCTGGATAGAAGACGGACGGAAAGGAATTCCTCCTATGCTGCCTTGGATTAGGATAGGGGGATCCCATCACACACTCAACTTGTTTCATGCCTGGATTGGAATGAAGCAAATTCGTGATATATCAACCTGACCATAAAAATTATCCCAAGTAAATTAAATAAATAGAATGCAACAGGGAGGCAACATGCAGACCTAGTAGTATAAACTCCTGCAGCTAACGTCGTAGCTCCTCCGACAGTCATAATCAACTTACTCCTGTCAGTCAATAACACCCTGAAACCCCCTGCATATTGAAATTAAGAAACACTTGCATCAAAAAGATATGCTCTTGGTTTGACCCAAATGATAATGATTAGATAAAAATGTTTTATGTCCATGCATACATTGCAAACTGTAAATATATAACTATGTAAGAAAAATAGAAATACAGTGGCCGGAGGTGTATCTTCAATCATGTGAATGTGCAACTTTAAATTGCCTTACCGTTGACTCAGTTAACTCAGAAGGGGATATCATTTGACTGGACTGACCAAAGAGAATCTGCTTTTCAGGAGTTGAAAACTCGATTAGTGACTGCACCGGTTCTTACCTTACCTTCAGGTACGGATGGTTATACTGTATTTAGTGATGCTTCTCATAAGGGTCTGGGGTGTGTTTTAATGCAGAATGGGAGAGTTATTGCTTATGCTTCCCGACAACTGAGACCACATGAAAAGAACTACCCGACCCATGATCTGGAACTTGCTGCAGTAGTATTTGCACTGAAAATCTGGCGTCACTACCTATACGGGGTAACATGTGAAGTATATACCGACCACAAGAGTTTGAAATATTTCTTCACATAGAAAGAACTGAACATGAGACAACGGAGATGGCTTGAACTGATTAAAGACTATGACCTACAGATTTTGTACCATCCGGGAAAAGCCAACACCGTTGCCGATGCACTGAGTCGGAAATCGATTGGAAATTTAGCCTGTTTGCTTACCGGGCAGAAGGAATTGTTTTGTGACCTTGAAAAATTTGAAATTGAAATCGTTTTGCGGGAACAAGGTGGAACCTTAGCTGCTATTTCTGCTCAACCAGCACTGATTGAAGAGATTAAAGAGAAACAACAACTGGATGACTTCTTGAAGAAGATCATCGAAGAAAGGGAAACTAAACCAAGACCGAGTTTGAAATTTGAAAGTAATGTACTGAAATTTCAAGAAAGACTGTGTGTACCAAATGATACTGAACTGAAAAGAAGAGTTCTGCAAGAAGGCCACAATTCAAAACTGTCTATCTATCTAGGGAATATGAAAATGTACCAAGACCTGAAACTGAATTTCTGGTGGCCGGGAATGAAGAAAGAAATTGCTAATTTTGTATCGAAATGTCTTCATTGCCAACAAGTTAAAGCCAAACATCAACGACCCGCAGGCTTATTGCTGCCCTTACCCATACCGGAGTGGAAATGGGAACATATCACCATGGATTTTATTGTGGGATTGCCTCGCTCCAGTAAAGGTATGGACTCAATTTGGGTTATTATTGATAGACTGACTAAATCTGCTCATTTCTTACCTGTTAAGACAATTTATAATGCGGACCAATTGGCTATACTCTATATTGATGAAATTGTTAGACTGCATGGAGTGCCTGTGTCCATTGTTTCTGACAGGGATTCGAAGTTTACATCGATTTGGAATGTGGCCTTGAGTTTTGGTGCTGTTTTCTGGAGGGTGGTCTGCATCAATGTGAGGCTTGCTGAACGAAGATGTGCTGTTACTTTATCTTTATTTTGGTAGATGCAGGCAAGTTCAGCGTGCAGGAAGAACAGTTCATCAGTGTGGTTTGCATTGGTGTGAGGTCTGCTGGGTGGGAAGATTGGGCTCAAGGACTAGGGTTTATCAAACTATAGATGAGGTATATGTGTGAAAGTGTACATTAAATCACCAGGTTCAATATTGCATTAGGAATGGGAGTTGAGCTATTCATATATCAGTTTGTTTAATTAGTTGAATTCTTCATATAGGAGCAGTATGCACTGGAATCTGTGTAGATGGTTGAGGATGGACTGAGACACTCCACTTCACCTAACCCACTATCACCTCCACTACACCTACTACCACATTTTCTTCTATATATAGATTGTATAGGAATTGTAATCAATCAATCTTGTATCAATCAATCAATATTAATCAATAATACATATAATTTTTACATGGTATCAGAGCAATAGGTTAGCTCTTGGTGAGCTTCACCTTCCGGCGGGCGGCAACCTTGCCTTCACCGCCCGCCGGACCCTAACCTGTTACATAATCAAATCTCAAACAGACCTGATTCACACCTCTCATTTCATTCATCTGTTTCGTACCTGTTGGCCTTCTTCCTTACCTTGCCGATCGGCGCCACCGCGCTACTTGCCTTGCTGTCACCGCCGTTAGACTTTCCGGCGTTGGTTCTCTACTCGCCGCCAGTGCTCTTCGCTTGTCATTTCTCTCTGTTTCTATTCACATACTCGACTGCAGATCTGCATCAAAGCATCTTCAGCCGGCCACCAATCAACCCCGGAGACTCCTTCGCCTTCCCGCCGTCCATTCGAACTGTCACATTGAGCTGGGATGGTCCAGGAATCGGAGCTTCGGCCTCCGCTGAAATTCAAGATCTGACTGACTTGAATCTCACGCCGCCGCTGCTGAAGACGGTGTCGGAGACCGACGACCTCGTGAAGCCGAGGGAGATCACTCCCCTCTTCCACAGAAACCCTCTTCGACCCATTGTTTCTTCATTTTCCGATACGGGTTCCATCGGAGTAAACTACGGCCGCATCGCAGACAATCCATCACCACCATCCCAAGTAGTTCAACTCCTCAAGTCGCAAGGCCTGAACCAGGTCAAGCTCTACGACTCCGATCCGGAGGTCCTCACAATCCATTGCTCTGCAAGTTTGCGTCATGGTTATGCATCTCGGTGCACTCATCATTTATTTGATTATAATCGGGGATGTGCTGTGTGGGAATCAATCTGAAGGAACATTGCATTTGGGGATTCTGCAAGCGTGATTTGGCATCCAGTGGTGGAATTCGCGCGCATGTGCGCTCCTTGTCGTCGTCTCTCTTCCTTTTAATTAATTAAATGTTTAAATATCCTACACATCACCTCCACCCACATTTGGTTCTCACTTTACCAAAAAAAAAAAAAAAAAAGGCTCTCTCTCTCGGGTTGCATTTTGAGGGGGGGCAGCTGGGCACCCATACACGAGGCGCACACACATCTCATCATTACATTTCACACTTTACACACCACCCTTCTCCACTCATATTATCCATGTTCCAGTGTCCAACACAAGTACTTGAAGTTCAATTATCTTGAAGATCCCATGTAATATAGATTTGAGCCTAGGTCTCTCTTTATCTAACTGTGTCAACATTTTGTACATGAAGACTTGCGAAGGTAAGTTTCATCAGATCATTCTCAAAATTTCCACTAAAATCAGGGTAGAGATGGATTTATAGAATGCAAGGTTTGGGATAGGGAAGATACCCATCCTGGGTAGACGACAAGGAGGGCCACCAAAAACAGGGCAGAGATAGGTGTATAGAATGTATGATTTAGGATGGGAAGATACCCTTCCTGGATAGAAGACGGACGGAAAGGAATTCCTCCTATGCTGCCTTGGATTAGGATAGGGGGATCCCATCACACACTCAACTTGTTTCATGCCTGGATTGGAATGAAGCAAATTCGTGATATATCAACCTGACCATAAAAATTATCCCAAGTAAATTAAATAAATAGAATGCAACAGGGAGGCAACATGCAGACCTAGTAGTATAAACTCCTGCAGCTAACGTCGTAGCTCCTCCGACAGTCATAATCAACTTACTCCTGTCAGTCAATAACACCCTGAAACCCCCTGCATATTGAAATTAAGAAACACTTGCATCAAAAAGATATGCTCTTGGTTTGACCCAAATGATAATGATTAGATAAAAATGTTTTATGTCCATGCATACATTGCAAACTGTAAATATATAACTATGTAAGAAAAATAGAAATACAGTGGCCGGAGGTGTATCTTCAATCATGTGAATGTGCAACTTTAGCAAACAACTACTACTAGTGCTGCACATCAAAATACGTAAAGAAACATGTAACATTAAATTCACAATTGCAAAAGCCAACATGACCGAGCACTGGGAAATGCTTTTTTAGAAGCCAACATGATGTCAACAAAAACCAATATGAGTGAATCATAATTCATGGCTGAGCTAACCTAAGGTTTGATGTGATCAATTAAAATATAATAAGCTCCCTGTCCCTGTATCCACTTCAAATGAATAAAGACTACCGAAAGCACCACAGATGCAACTCAACTAAAACTCAGCACAAATAGCATCTTCATATGAGAAACCACTTACTGTAGAGCCAACTTGTAAGACTTATAATAAAAGACAGAATATGAATGCATGGTTATTTGTTGTATACCTTCAATGTGAGTAAAAGTCGTATTGATGGCAACAAGCCACTTCTCTCTTTCGCCACTGATCCGTTCTATAAGCATTTTTCTGTTATGGTCCTCTGTCAGTTTTGCTTCGTGGGCCCGACCTTCAGCCTCAGCTATGGCCTTCACTCTTATGGTTTCGCGTTCCATTTTAGCTCTCTCTTTCTCAGTCTGGCATTGCTGAGCTTGGATCTGATCTTCAGTTGCTCTCCTTGCTTGTTCTTTCCGTATGGAGTACTCCTCTTGCATCCTACCCAATTCAGCATTGTGCCGCCTCTGAGATTCATGGTCGGTCTGAAAACAATGACAATAATAAATTTAACCTGCTTAATGGTAATTATCTTCTGATTTTCTCAACATTTTAAAGGAGGAACGAAAACTCTACAAGTCAAAGGTGTTCAAATATCAACTGAAGTTACATTTGAATGGATGTGACAATACATGTTATATTCTTAAAGCCAAAAACTCCAACAAGGTTTCACAAAGGAGGAAAGAGTCTACTCTGGTCAAGTTCTCAAGTCCTACAAAGGAAAAAAATAAATAAAAACTACTCTTATTACCTGCATTCTTTTCTAGCCAATTCATCTTCCTATTGTAGCATTTGTGCCTTTGTTTGTTCTTCTTGTTGAATTAAATTCCTTTGTTCCGCGGCCATTTTCCGTTGTTTATCCTGCCAATGCAGATATAATGGTAACAAAAGAGATAGCAGAAGATAAGAAAATAAATAAACTGGAACTTAATAAAGATAACATATTTTGGCATTATGCAAGGAAACTGAGAATTTGTGAGAACTATTGAAGTGCGACTGATATCCTTTTTTTTTTTTTTTTTTTTTTTTTTTTAGAACGAATTATACTGATGGTTCCTACTGTAGGTTGTCACTTTAGTCTTTGACCTCTTAATTATAATACATTTAATTATGAATTTTGAATCTCGTTTTAAATAAGGACCGTTGGCAAAGGAAACATTGGCAAAGGAAACATTTTTTAAAACAATTATGATAATTGCACAAGAGGAGAGGGATAAATATTTTACATTTTAATTTTTTTATCAAATTAATTTTTAGTATGTATTTGGATGATGATTTTTTTTTTTTTTTTGTTCGACCGGCAAAAGTCAATTGTTAGTCGTTAAATTAGCACCTATGGGAGTAAGCACCCCACCCTTGGCAAAGCACCAAGTGCTTGCCCCCTTAATTCAACTCTCCTAAGGAGAGTTGAACCGATGACCTCCCCTTAGGCACTAAGCCCTTAAGAAAGTCATAGTGGCTAACTAGGCTAGGCCTAATTAGTTACGACTGATATCCGTTGACATGTTCCATAGTTATGGAAGGCTTCCATCTATAGATTTTCAAATCCCTAGTTAAGGGATTTGGGAATGATTTAGAAAGGGAAAGAAAAAAGTGGGTAAAACTAAGTAAAATATAAGTATATTTTATTCATATTTCACCTACATTTTCTCTTTTCCTCTCCAAATCCCCAAAGCAAACACAGTTAATGGAAATTGTAACAACCTCCTATCCAGTGTTGTGAAAAGTGCGCCTAGGCGCAAGGCGAGGCGAGGCGAGGCGAGGCGCACTGCCTGCGATTGAACAGGTACCAGGCGAGGCGCTTTTAGATAGGCGCGCGCCTTAGCAGCGACTAGAACCAGGCGAGAGAGGCACAAGGATCTCGCTTAGGCGCGACTGATTGTTTAAGAGTTAGATCTGATCTAACGACTCAGATGAACCTTTCGAATGGCTCGTAATCACAGAGGATTACAACTCATGTGCCATATGAGCCAAATACGACTCAGATGAACCCTAATCGAAGTCGTCTCTTCCTCTTTCACCTCGCAATTGACTTCGACTTCGACTGGGCTGCTGGAGCTGGACTTCGACTGCGACAGCGACAGCGACACTGGACTTCGGCTTCGACTTCGCAGGTCTATTTGACTTCGACTCTCTCTCCCCTTCTCCTTCTTCTTCGTCTTCGACTTTCAGTTCTGCATCAACTTTCAGTTCTACTTTCTTTTCTTTTTTTTTTTTGGAGGGGGGGGCTTCGACTTCTTCAGTGCTCTGTTTTGCCTTCGACTTTCAGTTCTTTTTTTTGAGTTGAGTCTTTGAAAAAAAATGTAAGAGAACAATTTACAAAAAAAAATACAAAAATTAGGGAAAAAAAAAATTATTTGTAATATGTAAGAGAAGAATTTATCTGTTAGGGAAAAAAAATTACAAATAATTAATTATTTGTAATATGCTATTGATATTTTTTTTCCTTTATCTGTTAGGAAAAAAAAATTACAAATAATTAATTATTCACAAATAATTAATTAATACAATGTGGTATTGGTATTTTTTTTTCCTTTATCTGTTAGGGATTAAATTTGTTTTCTATTTATTCTTTTAATACAATTATTTTTTCATTTATTAAATTTGTCGTGTAGAAAATGACATCGGAAGGTAATAGAAAGATCCGATATACCCATTTGGTAGAGGAGAATAATTTAAATAAGTTCGAGTGTAATTTTTGTGGTAAAGTATCAAATGGAGGTGTTTATCAGGTGAAACAACACTTCGCTGGAGGTTATAGGAATGTCACTACTTGCCCGAAGTGTCCTTCTCATGTAAGAGAAGAGATTAGAGAGTTCGTGTCAAAAAAAAAGACACAAAAAGAAGAAATGAACATGTTGCCTGATTTCGATGACATGGACATGGAAGATGAAGATGAAGATGTCGTTGAGATCAATGTCAATCAACACCGTAAGTTGACAAGTAGTAGCCAAGGTTCATCCAAATCCAAATCAAAATAAAAAATGCCAAAGAGAAAAGGGCCCATGGATGTTTACTTCACACCCAATCCTGAATCAATGGTGAAAAATCGAAGAGACCAAGCAAAAGGGAAACAAACCAAAATTGATGCAAATGACCCTTACAAAAAAGAAATGAGAGCTCGGGCAATACAAAGATTTGCAAGGTGGATGTATGATGCTGGTATCTCTTTTAATGTAGTAAATTATGAGAGTTTTGGACCAATGATTGAAGCCATTGGCCAATATGGTCCTAGTATGAAGCCACCGACTTACCATGAAATGCGGGTTACCCAACTCAAAAAAAAAATGAAACATACTGAAAATTTGATGAAGAATCATAAAGAGGATTGTGCAAAATACGAGTGTTCCATAATGGCTGATGGTTGGACTGATAAGAGAGGAAAGACATTGATTAACTTTTTAGTTAATTGTCCAAGAGGAACCATGTTTGTTGAGTCGGTTGATGCTTCTAGCTATTCAAAGGATGGGCAAAAGCTATTTGAATTACTAGACAAGTTTGTGGAGAAAGTTGGAAAAGAGAATGTGGTGCAAGTTATCACTGATAGTGCTGCAGCTAATGTGTTGGCGGGTAAGAATATTTCCTCATTCCTTACATCAAAATTGTTTACTCATAGTTTGTTTTGTATTTAAAATTTAAAAACTTGAAAATAATAATTCTTTGTTATTGTTACATTATAGGGAGGTTTTTGGAAGCTAAATATGAACACTTGTATTAGACAACATGTGCTGCTCATTGTTTGAACTTGATGTTAGAAGACATTTTCAAGATACCTAGACTGAAAAAGACATTTGAAAGGGGTATTGCAGTACTAAGAAGCATGGACACGGACACGTGACACGACACGAATACGGCACGGACACGCCGACACGTTAATTTTAAAAAAATGCAAGACACGACACGTGGAAGACACGCATGAAATATATAATTTTATATATTTATTATATGTTATATATATGAATATATCATTCAAAGATAATAAAAAATGTAATATAGCACTATTTCCTATAAATTTATATAGTTTTTGTTTTATTATTGTATCTTAAGTTGTTTTGTTCAAACTTATAATTAGTTTCACATATGTATAATCAACAGACACATGTGTTTAAACAATTGACACGTGTGTCCTCTAAGTGTCCAAAGAGTGTCCGGGTCTTTAAAAATATTTAAAAAATAGGACACGTTTTGAAGAGTATCGGACACGTGTCCTAAGAGAGTCCAAAGAGTGTCGGTGTCCGACACGGATACGTCACCTTCTTAGAAGTGTCCGTGCTTCTTAGTTGCAGTACATGGCTACATTTACAATCGGCCTACGTTGCTAAACATGATGAGGCGCTATACAAATTTGAAGAATTTGATCAAGCCTGCAAAAACTAAATTTATAACTGCCTTTTTACTTTTGTCTAGGATGCATTCACACAAAAAAACAATTTGAGAAAGATGGTCACCTCCGAAGACTGGACCTCAAGCAAATGGGCAAAGGAGCACAACAGGTAAAAGAATGGCACAAACTTTGTTGATGCCTTCATTTTCGAATACTGTTGTGTTTGCCCTTAAGGTCTAGGTCTCTTGTCAAAATGCTTAGATTGGTTGAATACCGAGAAGAAACCTCCCATGGGATACATTTATGAGGCAATGGATAGGGCAAAGAATGCATTGCAAGTTCATTTGATCATAAAGAAGAGAAGTATAATGAAATCTTCGAAATCATTGACAAAAGATGGGATGTCCAATTGCATCGGCCTTTACATGCAGCTGCACATTTTCTTACCCAGAATTCTTTACCCAAAAGTGTTAGAGGTGCAAAAAGATCATTAAGTGATGAATGGGTTTTATGAATGCATGTAAAGGTTGGTCCGGATGTCACTGTTCAAGATTTGATCACTAATGAGATGAGTATTTATATGAAGGCTGAGAGTCTTTTTGGCAAGTCTGTTGCGATTAGGCAAAGAAATGCAAGAGCACCGGGTAATATATTATAGACTCATAGAGTTTATTTTTAGTAATACTTTTAGTAAAACTCAATACTTGGTAACAGTTATTTCTAACTAGGTGATTATCGTAGCTGATTGGTGGGCATCATATGGTTCTTATACTCCAAACTTGCAAACTTTTGCCATAAAAGTCCTTAGCCTAACATGTAGTTCATCGGGTTGTGAACGAAATTGGAGTGTATTCGAACATGTGAGTATTTAACATTCTAACTAATTTTTTGTTCAATTCAAATATTTTTTATTCTCATTATATAGAATTTAATATCTTTTTAATACTTGCAGCTTCATAGCAAGAAAAGAAATAGATTGGAACAACAACGTCTCAATGATTTAGTGTATGTCAAATACAATAGAACATTGAGATTTAGGTATGACATGCGCAACACTCTTGATCCCATATCTTTGCAAAATATTGATGAAAGCAATGAGTGGTTGCTTGGGAGGATGGATGGAGAATCAGATGAAGATAATGAGCTTGTGTTTGATGATGATGATGGCTTGACGTGGGCCACTGTTGCTAGAGCTTCTGGAGTAGAAGTAAGTAGCCATGCAAGTAGAGCAACAAGTTCACGCTCAAAGGCACAACCGAGGATATCTAAATCATCAACATTTACTCCACTTCAATTAATAGATGAAGAGGAAGCGGGCTCAGATGACACAGAGGAGGAAGATGTTGAGGGATATAAATCAACTGATGGAGAAGAAGATGTTGCCATTGATGTTGAGGATGATGATTGACTGACACCGACCTAACCTACCCTTTCTTTTGATATTAATATTTTTAAGTATTAAGACATATATTAGTATTTGTTAGATATTTATGTTTTGGATGTTTAGTATTTATGTTTTTATTTTTATTTTATTGAATGTGGATTATTTGATTTTTGAAAATTGGAATGTTATGTAATATGCCCTTTTATGACTTTGAGAATTATTCTATATTTTGTCTTAAATCTTGATTTCTTTTTATTTTTTAAAAAATTGTTTTAGTACTATGAATGATTAGTCTATGTTAATTTTTTTATTTTTCACGAAGACTGTACGCCTTACTTCAATAAAGCCCGCGCCTAGGCCCCGAGAGACTTAGGCCCCTTAGTGCGCCTTGAGCCTTTAAAAACACTGCTCCTATCACGTTGTTTGATAAGCAGGTTCAGTTTCAGTAGTAAGTACGAATCACAAAAACCAACTCATTTTCTAAAAACAAAAAACTGTCTTGTTCTGTCTATCCAGTTTTAATCATTACCAATGAAAGGTTGGATTTTCCCTTATTCAAAGCCAAAGGTTATGAGTGATTTTTTGGTATGATACCTTTTTTTTTTTTTTCCCCTTTCTTTTATCATACAAAAATCCTTATTATCACATGAGTTTTCCTAAAGTAGAGTACTTAACACGCCGGAGATATTCAACCCAATCCTTTTCACAAGCTAATGTGGCAACAGCAACATTGAAATGGAACAGAGATTTTGGTTCTTTTTGTAGTGAAACCAAATAAATGTTGCAGTAATTCGGGGAATGAATTAGGTTGACATTTTTTGGGTGACAATGGCAAGTCCATTTTCTAAAACTTCAATTGATAAGTAGTCATTCATTCGAGCACAGTATCAAAATTTTCCATAATTCTAAAGGGATATAAAACAAACATCACCCACTATTTGAGATTGAGATTGAGATTGAATGGCTTCGTAGTGAGCTTTCTCTGCCTCCAGTTCAACAAATAACCTCTATAACGAACAAAATATGAATATTCATGTTGGGAAAAAAAATTCCGAGAATATTATAATACCCTGTGTTGATTTGCTGGAGGACTTTGGCGCCTCTCTCCAACGATTCAGGATCGAAACCGCCTCTCGGCTCATCGGGGGCCGGCTCGGACTTCGTAGCCGAATTGGAAGAGTCGGTCTGCGGAGAAGGAGAAGGAGAAGGAGAAGAGAAGGGAGAGAAGAGTCGGCCATTGATGACTTTCTCCAAGTTCGATTTCTCGATTTTCTGGCGTGAGAGCTTAAACCCTGTTCTCTCTCAAACTGTAACAACATTTTGTTTGGAGGAAGTGAGCCATGGGAGAAGATATGGCCGCAAATAAAGAGCCCGTTCCCGAACAGGTTTGAGCTGCGATCGTTAAGCGCTCATTTGAATTTCATTGTTAATTTTTTTTTAAATTTGAGCTCGTTACATTTTTAATAAATAAAACTTAAATATTCTAAAGTTTCATTTGTCATCTTGACTCATTTAATATTTATCAGTTATATATTAAATAATATAAATATATATATATAAAATAAAATATGCATGTTATTTATATATTTAAAAAATATAAATATAAATAATAATTAATTATAAATAGTATATTTATATAATAGTGGTAATATATATTATTTTGATAAAATATTAATTTTTTAAATTATTTACATATATATACATTTATATATATTTTATATATAATTATATAATCAAAATTTTAATTGTAACTTTAATCTTATATGCAAATATAAATTTATAAATTTTTTAACTCGTTAAAATTCGTGAGCAGGCTTAACCTCGAGTCAAGTCTAAACCAACTTGGCTCGAGCTCAGTTCGTTAAATTTTATTAAGCTCGAGTTTGATCTCGACCTTGAGCTCGTTAAAATCTTAATAAACAAACCTAAACATACTAAAACTTGACTCAACTCGGTTTAGCTGGGCACGACTCGACTTTTTTACAACCTTAGGATAAGATATCTAGTGGTAGATATCTTGTTTGGTTTAAAAATTTTGTACCTGATTATTAATCTCAAATATATTAAGCCTTTGTTTGGGATGTGGGTTGACTTTTTGATTTTTTAACTTTTTAATTATTTTGAGATTAAAAAGTCTTGTTTGAGATAGACTTTTTGGGATAAAAATCTTAGAATAATTTATCTTATAGAATTAGATACTAATAAAATTACATTTTTGATCTTCACTATTTAATATATTTTTAAAAATAAAATTTATTATTAAGTTATTTAAAAAAATCTCAACTATAAATTAAAGTAAATTTATAAATAATTATTTATTTTAATAATCATATGGTATTAATTATACTTAGTAAAGTAAAATAAAATTTAAAAATCTCAACTATAAATTAAATTAAATTTATGTACTCATTAATATTCTATTTATTTAAGTTTTTAAAAGTTTTAGTAAAAAAAATTAAATAAAATTTATAACTCAGATTTAATATTCTTATTATTTAATAAACAATTTAAAATGATAGAATAATCTTTTAAGTATTTAACATTCTCCATAATATCTTAAATAAACATAGAATTCAATTGAATAATTTAATCCAGACATCTAATTCCATAACTAAACAAACATAGATACAAATTCAGTCTAACTAAATAGTCCTGGACAACGTATCTCAGGACTAACAATACGATGGATTATCCAGTTTGCCCTAAGGGTTTAAACGTTCAATTGAATCAAAAGTTGGGGAATTTTTGTAAATATAAAAAATAGAAGAGAGGTGCGTACGCATAACCGTTGATTTGGGCTTGGGTCGGATTCATGGGCTGGGCTGGGCAGGGCCTATAAAGCTTAATCATGGATTTTTTATTTTTTTATTTATATAGATTGAGTTCACATATAGACAGAAATTAGTCCAGTTTAGATCCATGAGTTCACGGATCCCATTTTAATTATCTGATTAGCTAATCTTTTAGCTTTCAGTATTTAGATTATTTATATAAAAAAAATTAAATTAAATTAAAAAAAACAGATTAGATTGGTCCAATATTGTAATTATGGGTGTATCTCCCTTTCCTTTCCTTCCTTAACTGTTCCATTACATCTGATCATTTCTTCTGGAGCCCAATCATGCAGGAGTTTTAGAGCATAAACTTAATTCTAACCATGGTTTTTATGCTGATTAGCTAATCTTTTAGCTTTCAGTATTTAGATTATTTATATAAAAAAAATTAAATTAAATTAAAAAAAACAGATTAGATTGGTCCAATATTGTAATTATGGGTGTGTCTCCCTTTCCTTTCCTTCCTTAACTATTACATCTGATCATTTCTTCTGGAGCCCAATCATGCAGGAGTTTTAGAGCATAAACTTAATTCTAACTATGGTTTTTATGGAATGGTGATTTAATATATATATTTTTTTTTTTTGGGTACAACGGAAAGAATGGTGATTTAATTGTGATCGCCACGAAGCTCTTAATTTGTTGGAATTTAGTACTGAATTTCATAACAGAACAATTTTGTTTCTTTTTAGATTTTCTTTAATATCTAATTTGTTGATGGTTAACCTATTGTCTTTCTAAAATGAATATGAATTTGTAAGAATTGGGTTGCCAAGTGTCAATTATTGATAGGTAAAACGATGGGTTGGCGAGGGACACTAGCCAATGGTGTGGGGTTGGGAGCTAAAAATGGTGTCAACCAGTAGGTATGTTAAAGAGCCTTCATTGCTAAGCACAGAGGGAGACATACCCATATGAAGGGAATGGGGATCCTTCCAACTCTACCCCAACTCACTCAAATATTCCAAAGAAGCCAAAAACTCTCATTATTACAAAGGTTTTGTTATAAGATAATGGCCCTATATCTCCATACTGTATTTGTCACTATCAAAGATTAATTATTATGTATTTGTATACATTTATATAATCCTTTGGCATCTTTTTGTTACTTGTAACATTTTTTTTCTGTTGATTGTGGTTATATCCAATTTTATTATTTGTAGCATATCAATCATGGTCAAATCTAATATCATTGATTATAGCCAATCGATTTTGATCTATCAATTTAGATCATAAATCATCTTTAAAGACCTATTATGGCCACATTATTGATATTATTATTATTAAACTTGTTTGGTTCCTATTTTCAAGATTTACTTTTCAAAAAAATGAATATTTTTATTTTTTGTGTTCTTTTTGTTTTTTGTTTTCACTGAATTTTTTTAATATTCTAAGTAATTCTTTTAATTTTTAGATACACTTAAAAAAAATAATATTCGTGAAAAATATCTTTAAAAATTCATTAAATACCAAAAATATAAAAAAATAATAAGAATTCAGTACATTATTTGTATTCTTGTGTATTTATTGATTTTTTAAGATATTTTTTTACAAATATTTTACTTTTAAAATACATCTAAAAAACTAAAAAAAATACTTAAAATTTAAAAAATATTCACTAAAAAAAACACAAAAAATAAAAAAATTAATTTTTAGAAAATTAAATAAAATACACTAATTATTATTATGTTTCGTGCAAGAGTCATGGAAAGCATCAAGTGGTTAAAGGAGGTCATGAACATGTGGCAGTTTCAACTTCCACCTCCTTTTGTGGCTATAAGCACGAGTGAAAGAGAACTACCTTGGGCAGTTTTATAAACCGTGGGACTGAGCCTATTTATAGGCTTAGGGAGATCAAACAAGGGCAGTGGAATTCAGCGAAGAAGTGGCACAAATTAATGATAACGTTAAATTATTTTTTTCATAATAAATAATAATGAAATATTATTAAATTTAAATATTAAGAGTTTATTTGAATAAATATGAATTTTAAATTAAGGGATTTGAAATTAAATTTTATATAAATATTGGAGAGTAACTATTTTATAGGTGAATTGGAAAATTAAAAAAGAAGATAAGTTGAGATAGAAGATATATTTTAGTAGAGAAATTCTATAAAATATACCGCAAAAAAAGTGTCTATCATATGTCACAATTATGATTTTCATGGTTTTTAATTATAACACATTATAGTGTTAGATATAATTTAATTATGATTTCTTGTGGTTGTTATTTTGGTTATGACTATGT